GATGGGTCAGGAGCAGGGTGGAAGCTGCCAACTGGGCAGGGGGCTGCACTTTGTGGTCAGAACAGCTGGGATGTGTAACGCTGGGCAGCTTGCAGACCAAGTCACCCAACCCTCATGACCTTGGCTGTGTTCACCTCCCTGAGGTCATCCTCATCTGTGAAGTGGGCTCATGGAGGGCTGCACTGATAGGGTCACGGGAAGGGTTAGGTGAGGTACCTCACACAACGGCCAGTACTTTGATGCACCAGGGTCAGACTTCAAAGGAGAGGAGGAAGAGGGAGTAAGCCTGTTGGAGAGCCGCAGAAAAACGAGAGAATGTCAAACACACACACTCCCCACGGTTGTGCCCCAGGGGCAGTTTTGTTCCTGAATCCAACACAAGTTGCCTCCTTTCCTCATCCAGATGTCTACAGTCCTGTACTTCCCCATCATTGTCTTGTCACTGTCAAGGTGTTTCTCCCACCAGCTGGAGGGCTTCTGAAAGGCCAGTGGTGACTGGCATCACCCCAACCTCGGCAACAAGGGTGCTGAACTCTGACATCAGAGAGGCAGCACTGGCCTTGTCCAGCAGGTGGCAGCAGTTGCCAACATCAGGGATCCAATGGGCAAAGGGCCACCCTGGCCTTGCAGCCCATAGGATAGAAGCCCAGGGTCCTTGGGAGCTTTCAAATGGCCAGCCTTTTCCCAGAGCTCTATGGGAATACTGCTCATGCCAACATGCAGGTGTGTACCACTGACTCCACAAATACATTTTCAGTGCCAGCCTTGGTTAACCAATGAGAACGTGATCCTGTTCCTTCCCTTCATCTGATGAGCGGACACACCCCCACCACAGACTAGATCCACACAGGACAATGAGTGCTATTCCCCATGTGGCCACTTCCTACTTATACTTTAAGCCACAATTCAAATGCCCTGCCTCTGTGAAGTGGTCCCTGATTGCAGGGAGCTGGCCGCTCTGGGGACCCACGGCATCTGGTGCAGCAGTGTCCACTTCAGCCTTTGCCAGGTTCTGGCTCCTCTGTCTCCGCCCACCCTCACCTGCCACTTCCGCCTTCAGCCCTTGTTTCTTCTTCCACACACACGCACACGCACGCACGCTACAACCCCCACCTTCACACAAAATCAGACTGCTCCTGCCTCCCAAGTCTCCAGCCGGTGTTCTACACCAGCTCCTCCCCGAGGCCCTACGTGTCTTCCTGGATGTCGGGGCTACACATCCCGGTCTGAAGTCTTCCACTTCCCTGGGTCTGCGCCTCCTCCAAGCACCAGTCCTGCTCTCATCCGCGCACAGTCACCAGGGCCTGTGGTCACTAGTTCATAATATCTGTCATTGTTTTTGTTTTATGTAAGATGCAGTCTTTTTTTAAAAGATTTTATTTATTTATCTTTTAGAGGGGAAGGAAATAGGGAGAGAGAAACATCTGTGTATGGTTGCGTTTTGGGGACTGGCCTGCAGGGATCTGGCCTGCAACCCAGACATGTGCCCTGACTGGGAATCGAACCGCGATCCTCTGGTTCGCAGGCCTGTGCTCAATCCACTGAGCTACACCAGCCAGGGCTTAAGATACAGTCTTTTAATTATTGAAATACAATATAGTGATGTTAAATAAGTCTCTTGAGTGCCTTTGACACTTTCCTGCAGCCCAGTGGGTCCTGCTCACATTCAGATGGCCAGGGTCTCTGGTCTCTCTCCTGGGTAGTGCAGCAGGCTGCTGTAGACAGCTGCCCTCCGTGCTGCTCCAGAGGCCCCCTTCCCCCACTTGGAAAACTTCCTCCGTGCTGACCACTCCCAGCCTGGCCCTCTCCCATGAACCTCAGAGTCTACTTACCCTCCCCCATTGGGAAGTCTAATGTGCAACCCAAACTGAACAGGTTCCAACCCCGAATCCTGATTTACCCCCACCTTCAGCCTGCTCCTTCTCCAGTTCTTCCTCCGCCTCTGCACATGCAACACCCTCTGCCCTGGTGTTCAGGTCAAAACCCCTTGACTCCACTCTTCCTTGCGTTCTCTCTTTCTCTCAGCTGGCTCTACAATTAAAGTGTATCCAGAATATGGCCACTTCTCACCACTACCACTGCCATCATCTGTCCCAGCCACCTGCAATATTGCAACCACAAAATGATGTCCCTATGTCCTCTGTGTCCCCTTCAGTTTATGTTCCACCCAGCAGTCAGAGTAATCCCATTAAAGCCCAGGATGGATCCTGGCCCTCCTCTGCTCAAAACTCTCCTATGACAAAAACAAACAAGCAAACAAAAAAACAAAACCTCCTGGGCTCCCATCCCACTTAGAGAGTCAAAGCCAAAAACTGCCATCACTTCTTAGGGCCCTCCCTCAACTTCTCTGACGTTGGCTCCTCTGAGCGCTTCCTCGTCCACGACGCTGCACGCATCCTTGCCTTCTTGCTGTTTCTCTGACAGGCTCCCTGCTCATGGTCATTTTCCTCATGGTCAAGTTTCCCTGCTCATGATCGAGTTCCCAGAGGGCACTTCGAGTCCCTCTGCCCAGAATGCTTTTCCACCAGAGGCATGCGTAGCTCACTCCCTCACCTCTTTCAGATCTTTACTCAAATGCTACCCTCTCAGGCCTCCTTGACCACCTCATTTAAAATGGGAATTCCCACCTCAGACCCAGCACCCCCTACTCCTTCTTTCCTACTTTATCTTTTCCATAGTATATCATCACCATTATATATATATTTTTTGTTTACTATCTCTTCCCTCTACTACAACATGGACTCTATGAGGACAAACAAGAACTTCTGTCTATCTTGTTTTCTGCCACATCCCCAACACCTGCAACAATCAGCACATAGTAAATGCTCAATCATTACTTTTTAATTAAAGGAGTGAATGTCTGACCCTTGATCTCCTCCTTGTCTGCACAATAAAATTTAACATTCAAGCCCTCCTTCACTTATCTCCTATCCACGCTCACTCTCATACCTAAGCATAGCACCACAGCAGGCTCCTGCAGTCCTCCAAATGCTCCCGACCCGTGCCTTTGGGTACACTCCTTCCTCTGCGCGGGAAGCCCGCACCACCGCCTGCCGCAATCCCACTCCTCCAACACCCAACTCGAACATCACCGCCTCTAGGAAGTACCCTGGACCCCTCACATACTGAAATCATGCCTGTCTTTCCCACTACACTAGAAGCACGTTAATTTCAGAACAGGGGCCCCAGAGCATGGTTTCCAAGGTCATATTGGGTAAGTGATTGAATGAGGATAAAACATATATGAGGCCCTGGCTGGTGTAGCTCAGTGGATTGAGCTTGGGCTGCAAACCAAAGGGTGGCCAGCTCGATTCCCAGTCAGAGCACATGCCTGGGCTGCGAGCCTAGTCCCCCACTGGGGGCCATGTGAGAGGCAACCACACATTGATGTTTCTCACCCTTTCTTTCTCCCTCCCTTCCACTCTCTGTAAATGAATGAATAAAGTCCTTAAAAAAAACCCAAACATATATGAGAAAGGCAGAGTTTCAGGTGAAGGGCACATGTTCATTATTTATTTTCTATGTTATCATTTAATATGCATTTCAATACGTGATGCTTGGCATGGCATTTGGGATCTCTGAGGGTAGAAGCTGGGCCTCCTATTATTGCCCTCTCCCCATATGGCCAGGCACTGGGCCCTGGGGTACACCCACCCCCCACCCCACTGAATTATGCTGCGTGCACGAAAGCACTCTGCACCAGGAGTCAGGCAGCACCTTCCCTGCCGTTTGTTCCCTGTAACCCTGAGCCAGACCCTCTAGCAGGTGAATCCTGGTTTTGCATCTGTCAAATGGGCAACACCAAAAAGGGTGTGGGGAGGGGGAACACCACCAAGCTTGTTCTGTGGGACACTCAAGGTCTGGACAACCAGGAAGTGTGTGGCTGTCTCTCATGCCAGGCCACCTCTGAGCTACTTTTGGGCCAGATTTTCCATAGATGGCTGGAACAGTGTCTCTAGCCTGTTTACCAGCCAGCTAACCTGTGCTCACAGTCTGGGACAAGTGCCAGGCCCGGACATATTGGGCAGCAAGGGGCTGGCCCAGCTCCAGAGCAATACCTTGGCAGCCGTAGGAAAGGGAAAAGGGTGTTCTTGGCCTGAGGTCAAGAGGGTCTGGGCCAGGGCACAGAGGAGACAGCTGGTGTGTGTGTGTGGCTGCTGTCTCAACAAAATGCTGGCAGGGACTAGAAAAGGAGCATTTGCTATTGACTAGCCCCCACCCACAGCCCCTCTACAGTATTACTAAGATCTTCCCGTTAGTGCCAGAGGGAGCTGGGTCCCAGCTACTAGATAGGAAAGAGGATCTCAGGCTTGGAGCTGGGACTCAGGGCTGGGGATGCAGGGATGAGGGAAGGAGAGGGAGCTATAACCTTGATCTCCCTTCCCCAAAGATAGAAGTGTTCCTGTATCCTGCTGCGAGTGGAAACTACAGGAAAGGGGGGTGGCCACCCACCATCAGACTTGTGAACTGAGAAATACTTCTGGGGAAAGTGGGGATCAGGGCCTGAGTCTAAGTGAAAGGGTGGGAAAAGGGTGTAGGACAGGGGCTCAAAGGCTGGAACACCGGAGGAGGTTTTTGAAGGGGGGGTGCTGAAAGTTCCCAGCATTAAAAGCAAGAGAGGGGTTCAACTTCCAGCAAATCCCTGGGAATGTGAGGGACTGGGGCGGGAGAGGGTAGGGTCCAGAACGAAGCTGAGAGGCTGAGTCGAGGGAGGGTTGGAGAAAGGCTCTGAGACCCAGTCTAGGCAGGGATTACGGGTCAAGACGCAGGGGGACGAGATCCCAGGGATTTGACCCAACAGAGGTCCTTGTGGGAGGTGAGGGTAAGGAGCCCGACTTCCAAGTCCTATGCTACGTTAGAGCCTGGCGGGAAGGGGCGGGACGGACGCTGGGCGCGGCAGGGCTGGGGGCTGGGCCGGGGTCCCCGGGGCCGGGGCGGGGCCCGGCCAGCGCTGCGCAGCCGCGGGGAGGCCGCCGCGCATGCGGGACTCACAAGGCTGCAGCCGGCGCCGCGGACACTCCCGGGAGCATGAAGGACCGAACCCAAGAGCTTCGCACGGTGAGTTCGGCCTCCGCTCGCCTCCCATCCAGCGCGCGAGCCACTCCTCACTCAGCTCCTGTAGTCACCGGAGTGGCAGCCCCTGCGTCCTGGACTGGGACCGGAGATAGCCGGGCGGAACCGGGAACCCGGAGCCCCCAACGGGTCCCACCCCTCCGACCCACTCGGGGTCACGGACTGGCGTGAGCTCGGCCCCGCTGGCCGGCGGGCTGATGGATAGAGTCCGGGGTCCTGGTTAAACTTTTTCGCCCTTCCTTGTTGTGAGGGTGGGGGGTGGAGGGTCGAAGGGGTACTGATTGGATATCGATGGCAGGACAGAAGCCTGACCTCTCTCTGGGCCCGCGGAGCGAGTCCGGTCTCCATCCGGAGCGAGCCCACACGGCGCCTGATCACTGACCCTCCTGTCCCAGCTCTGGTATAAACAGACAACCGGACCGTGGTGGGACGGGGTCCGGAGGGGTCCCCTGCCCAGAGCCCCGCTGCGGGATGCGCTGCGGAAACCCGGCGGTCGGGTGGGGCCCGGCTCCATGGCGGGCGCTGGCTCACGGGGTGCCCCGCCTCCCCTATCACCTCCCATCACCTGTAGCTCCCATCACCTGTGGCTCCCCAGTGGGTCGCGATTGGGATCTGCTGCCAACCTGGTTGCGGGAGGGGTCAGATTCACCCCCCAGTCCATTTTCATGGCCTGCGGGCAGCCCAGCACAGCATTTTGAGACCCTTCAGGGGTCTGTGGTCCGTTTCAGACCTAAATCTGTTTCCCACCTGTGTCTCAGAGGTCCCGGGGTGTAGCTCCCGCGGCAGGATTTGCGGGGAGAGGGAAGATGTGCAAAGGTTCTGAATTAGAGCCCACCCTCTCGCAGCCCTGACAGAGACCCCTGCCGTCTGCTCTTAATCTATAGCCCTTCCCTCTCCCCTCGCTTCTGCTTTTTAGCAAAGTTTGTACCTCTGTCCTTAGGGATTATCAAGCTCGCAGGCCTGTGGGGCGGGGGTGGGGGGGCAAGCAGTGAAGGAAATGAACCCTGCCTGTGGGGAGTGGGGGACATCAGTGCTCTAGAGCAGGTTGAGTTGTGTCTGGTCCCCAGGCTGACCGGCGTGCTGGTAAGCCCTGCCTGCTGTTTTCTGTGGGAGCTTTAGCTCAGCGGCTCCCCAGGGCCCTTCCCCTGCTGCCCACCTTGGAACCAGAGACCCTGGTCCCCTCATATGGAAAGTTTCAAGTGTCCTTTGGGCTTTTGATCCCATGGCTTGTCCTCCTGCCCAGAGGCTCCCTGTGTTTGTGCCTGGGTCTTCCCCAGCATACCAGTCTTGTCCCCTGGGCAACCTGGGGCTGGGCCCTGTACATTCCTGCCTTTATTTCCTTCTTGCTCTGACTGCTAGCCCCCACCCTACCCAGCAGACCTGTGTTATTCCTAAGTGTCCAGCCCCCAGGGTAAACCCCAGGAGGTTTCAAAGGAAGAAGGCAGTCCCTCATGTCCTATGTGGTGTCTGAACACTTTCCTGCCAGCCTTTGCGGTTGCCCTCAAGTTTCCTGTGCTGTGTTGAGTCAGAAAGAGTAATCTGTGCAGTCAATGGTCTTGTGGTGCTTCTGCTGATGTTTGGGTACCAGGTGGGTCAGAGAAGAGTGTATGTGGGAACCAATGGTCAGAGGGAGGAACACAGTCCTCTCTACATAGGACAGAGCTTCTGGCTCTGCTGAAGGGGAAACTGAGGCACAAGAGAGCAAGTGGCTTGCCTGATAGATCAAGAGGGATGGTGGAAAGGGGCTTTGCGTAGTCCTGAAGGCAGGTGGACTGAGGCCTGGCTGGGACTCTACCAGGAGAGTCTGAGTTGTAAGGAGCTTGCACCCAAGTCTGTTGGCTCGGTCTGTGTTTCTGTGATCCCTCCACTCCATCCGCCCTGGTGGGTGCTTAGATGGTAAAGCCTGGTTTCTCTGTGAATCATTCCTCTCCAGACCCCAGCCCTCAGGTATTCTGAGCCCATGGAGGCTGCCATACTCATTGCCGGGGGCCTGCCCATTAGGGGTTTCTAGCACCCTGGGTGGGGTACTGGAAGGAACCCACAGTGGCAGGGGAGGGGTGTGGAATAGTTAGTCTGGGGCTGCCATTTCCACAGGTTTCCCCCTGGGCCTCAAGTTCCCATCTATGAAGTGGAGATAGGAAAACCTAGAACCCAGATTCTCAGGGCAAGAGGTGTGGTCACAGGACTCCTGGCTCTGACTCCATATTTGGGGGAGACCTTTAACCCCTGGAGCCAGAATTTTCAGACCAGAATTCTCAGGAACCAAGAGGCCAGTAATGGACAGAGGTGGTGCTTGGGACAGCAGCATGCAGTGCCCCCAACCTCCTCATTCCCCTTCCCCACCCAACCCTACCACATTTGGAAAAAAAAGGCCGGCAAAGGAAATTTATTTATAAAAGTCACTCTAGGTGAGGGGGCTGGCTCGTTTCCTCAGCATTGCAGGCCAGGTCCAGCCCTCCAGCCTTCTCCGGTCCCCTGATCTCCCCTCCTATCGTATGGAGAGTGAAGGGATCATCAGGGCCAGTGTGGGGCCTCAACACTGTGGACAGCCCTCAGAGATCAGAAGCACAACTGGAGGCTCAAGAGCAAAGAATAGCCCAGAGTCACAACTTGGGAGACTTTGGAGACAAGGTGCCCAGAATCCCTGCCCGGATGCAGCTGCCTCCTTCCCCCAATTAGAAGCCTCCCTGGTTTTCTTTCTGAGAACTTCTTGGAGCCGATCCACCCTCCCTGGGCCCAGCACTGTGTTTATGTGCATGCTAGGCCGTGCAGGACACAAGGGAGCTGCTGCAGCAGCCAGAGGACAGAGGGAGGAGAAAGAGTCTATGTGGCCAGACCCTGGAAGAAGCCTTCCTGGAAGAAGAGGACTTGGGATGACTCAGGAGGAGGAATTTGATATGAGTGGGAGGGGAAAGGTTGTTCAAAAGAAGGGGCCAGAGTAACCTAAGGCAGAGAGGTGGGAATGCCCAACAAGAGTAGGGGGGCGGGGTGCTGACACCAATCTGGTGGCCAGGGAGGGCCAGTGTAGGTAGGAAGTCTAGTGCCTCTTTGCCCACCAGTTTCCCTTTTCTCCCTCACTGCTAGGAAGAGACCAGGGGTCCCAGAGAACACTAGACAGGTTTGTGCCGTATTCTCTCTGTGCTCATTTCACCTATACAGTGGAGCCAGCAGGATCTGCCTTGAGGAATAGAAAAAATGGGGGTGTAAGAATAGGCCCTTCTTCCTTCCCTCCAGTGATCTCCTTGGGGTTTCCCAACAGAAACAATGGATTTGAGCACATTTTCATCTGGGATGCAGCTGGAATGGCCTTTGGGGACACTGTGGTCCAACCTCCTATCTTACAAGTTGGAAAACTGAGGTACAGAAAGGGTCAGGGGTTTTCCCAGGTTACACAGCAGCTGGAGCAGAGTCCAGCCCCTGTCCACCACCTGAAGCTGCCATCCTGAGTTCCTCTGTGGCCCTGCTGAGAGCAGGGATCCAGTGGAGGAGGGAGAACACAGGGTGGGGATCAGACTGGAGAGCCCTCTTGCCTGGAGACCCAGCTGGGCCTCTCACACACCCCACTCGGCTCTGGACTTCTGTCCTCTAATGATATTGACTTTGATTAGTCATTAAAAAGATGAAGGGGAAAAAAATAGCCCTTGAGGCAGACAACAGCAACTCCTACACAGGAGGAATGAATCAACCTTGCCGCTAGCCTGCTGCTGCCATCCCTGGGGACCGGCCTGCAGGCGCCTCTTGGAAGAATCAAGCTCTTGTTTCCAGGAAAGTGTCATGGAATCCTGGAGCCTCTGCCAGGCGAGACCACCAGGACTGCCTAGCCTCCACTGGCAAGAAGCTTAGGGCTTCCTAGTGGTTCTAGCAGGGATCCTCTCCCTCCTGAAGGTTGCTGTGGTTGGGGCAGCATCCCCTCCCACCCCACCCAGTTTTCATTCCTGCTTGCTCAGCCTGGAGGCGCTGAGGCCAGGCTGAGGCAGCCAGCGTGTCAGAAAAGAGTGAGACCAGACCAGAGGTTCTCAGTCTTCAGGGGCCTCACCATCCCCACTCCCATAAATTCTGATTTGATCTTTCTGAAGTAGGACCCTGGAAGCTGTTTTTTTCAAATCCATGGGGTTGAGAACCATTGAAAGATGAACAGAAAACACTAGGACAAATTGAATGCTGGCTGGGTGTGGGGGGAGGAGGGAGAGCGTTGACGTCTCCCAGTTTCTGACTCAAGGAGCCCTTGGGAGCAGGGGCTCTGCACAGGGGGTCTAGAGGAGGGGTGCAGGAGAAAGGGACAGAGCCTGTCTTTGGCCAGGTGGCAGGTAGCATGCCCACACGATGGCTGGGTGGGTTGACCCAGAGGACTTTTGAATCTTCAAGCTTGTAGTTGCCCCATGGCTCTAGCTGCCACTTCTGTGCGGGAGCTACCCAAGTACCCAGTTCCACCCCAGCCCTCGTTGTGGGCCTGTGACTACCACTCAGAGAGGATTGGTGGATTCCCAGGGGCCGGGGCCCTAATCATTCAACAAATACCACTTCCTGTATGTGTATGATATTCACTCTGGCCTGTCCAGGAGTGTGTCTGGGCTGGGGGCAGGGGAGGTAGCGGTGCTGGGTTCCTACATCCTTGTCATTTCTTCAGTGTCCATCGATGAGAACTGATTAGCGTCTGAGTTGATCTGGGGGACACCTCTAGAAAGGCGCTGTTCCAGGGCCGCGGCCTAGATGTGGGTGAGGTTGCAGGGCACGACAGACTCCTGAGCCATCAGGTTCTCACAGACTAGAACAAGGATCGGAACAAATGAAGAAATGAAACAAAAAAGTTCCTTCACACAAAGCCAAGATCTAACCAAGAAGACAGTGATAGGGAAGGACTTGAAGCTTTCCTTGGCAGGGAGTGCTATAGCATCAGATAATTTATGTGATCTCTGGCTGCATTAACAGAGGTAGAATATGTAGAAAGAGGGAGGGGATGGGCCAGCTCTTTGGCACTGCTCAGACCACAACAGCAACAGATTGCCTTTGTATCCTGTACTACAGGGGAAGACAGAGACCAAGCTGAACAAGTTATGGTCAGGAGCTATAATTTAGGGCCCCTGTGAAGGATCTGAAGGGGCGGGAATGGCCAACTTAAAAACTCAAGGAGGGTGTGGATGCTTCCTTCAGATTTCTGGCAGGGCCAGCCAGGGGAGAAGACACCAACAGGTTCTTTATGGCCAGGGGCCAAACCAGGAAAGGGAGGGATTTTCTAGCAATTGGGGTTACCCAAGATGGGCAGAGCTGCCTGGGGAAGCTAATGAACTCACTATTACAGGGAGTATGAAACTGGAAGCCAGGGTCAAAGAGACTTTGCAGATCCCTTGGGGTTTGAGAGTCTGTGACTGTGGCTCCATCAGGGGTGTGACTAGGGTGTGGGGAACCAGAGGAATGAGGTACTGACCCAAGGGAGCTTGGGAAGACTTCTGGAAAGAGGTGGCATCTAGGGATGAGGAGAATGTCAGTGTCATGGAATCAGCGTCCAAGGCAAAAGGAACTGCATGGGAAAGCAGGGAGGACTGTGGGTGGAGTGGAGGGGTAGGGATCAGTTTCGATTTCCCTGGAGCATCCCCTCAGGTTTTCACTTGGAGTGACAGCTGGTTTGACCAAAGCTGTGAGGTTAGGCGCTAGACTCTCCAGTTGTCTTTGGGGCCGATCGGAATGGCCCAACCTGGGTGCCCCAGTTAGACCCTGACTCACTGTCCTGTTCCCAGCTCTACTCTCGTAGATGGAGAGCCTGGAGGGCTTTCTTGCTAACCTTCTGTGGGAGCCTTCAGTCCTCTAGGGAGCCGTGAAGGTAGCAGGTCAGAGCTGGCTGGACATCTGGAGAAGATACATCACTGTTTTACAGATGAGCAAGCTGAGGCCCAGAACAGGACACCATCCCAGACCCCAGGGGTCTCTGGCAGTGACTCTTATTTCTGGTGACTCCAGTGCCCTTGCTTTAGGCCCTAGGGGGTCACTACTTTCTCTGGGAAGAGAGGCGGGAAATTCTTCTGCCCCTCTGAGTGCACCCCTGTCCTCCGGGCACTGGGACAGGGCGGGCAGGGCCCTGAATGGCGAGAGCTCCTAGGGTCAGGTGCCAACCTGGCAAGCTGCCCAGGAAAGGGAACTGGGCTCCTTCCAGGCTGCACTCTGCCTCAATTTCCCTAGAGAGTGCTCCTCTGGTTCAGCCCCTGGGCAGGGCATGGTCTGAAAGTGTGGAAATGGCTCCTAGATTTCCTGTGCCTATGAGTGGGCTTGGGAGGGGGAGGGGGGCCACCTGGTAGCCGCTGCAGGCACTTATGGGTGCCAGGATTTATTTTAGCTGCTGGGGGAGGAGGTGTGATCTCTCGATGTGAGGGGCCCCTCCAAGCTGTCTCCATAAGGCTCCTAGCCCAGCCCCACTTTGGTGGGGTAGTGGGACCCCGAGAGCCCTGGAGCACAGCCCTTCACAACATGTTGTGCTTCCCCATCCGTCCTCAGCCCTCCCTCCCTGCAGCCAAGTGTCCCTGTCCCCCTTTTGTAGAGGAGCAAATAGACCCACAGAGTGAGTCCCTTAGCTTCCCTCTCTTCTCAGCCTCTGCCTGTCTCTCTCCTGGGCCCTGACGAAAGAGAGAGAGGAGGTAAGGGCCAGTGCCTAGCCAGCTAGTACCTCCTCCCCTGGGGACACCGAGAAATGAGGAGGTGTGACTGAGCTTGAGAACCCCCATCTGAGAGGGACAGTCCAGCCCTGGGTATCCCGGCCTTGGCTGTGGAGAGGACCTGGGTCTTGCCAGTCAAGTGGGCGGACGCTGGCAGAGTCAAAGTGTGGGGTGGACAGTAACGTGCATGGCCAGCATGCTGGGAAGTCAGAGGTGTAATCACCACACCCCCACTCTGTGATGAGGGTGGCTTTTGTACAGCTGCTCCTGGAGCAGCAGAGTGGGGCTTGCACCTGTGGCTGAGGCCGAAGGTGGGCCCCAGCCAGGTTACAGCATGACCGGCCTCTTGTACCTGCTGGGCCCAGCTCTGGGCCTGGACAGAAAGAGGGTCATGTCCCCACATCAAAACTGACCAGGAAAGAGAGTAGCCTGAGAGGACTGAGTAGGTAAAGCAGGCACCTGGCAGAGCCCGAACAGGCAGTCCCTCTCTCAGCTCGTCTGGGGTGTTGTAGGGATGGCCCTATGTCTGAGCCATCTGGCCTTCTGGGAGGGAGGCGTTAGCATGTCCAGGCCCTGCACGGCATAGGCCTACCCCTCCAGGAACCGCCCAGGAAAGAGGGCTTGGGAAGGCCTAGCTAGGACAGTAGACAACTCTGGCTCCCAGGTGGCCTGTTTCAAGTGAGGTCTTATGAGTTGGGGTCGATGGCCTGGAGACCAAGCCCTGAGGTCTTCTTGCTCGGCCAACGGCAGGGCCTCCCGAGCAGCACTGTAGAATGAGGGAGGTTCTGGGAGGACCTCAGTCCTGTGGGGAAGGGCAGGCAGCTGGGCAGGGAGGGGAAGGAATCCGTGGCCTGGAGATGGAGACTTGGCCCTGTCACCAACTTGACAAGCAAGGCCCCTCTCCTTTTGCCAGGTCCCCAGGAATCTTTCAGGTCTCACTGTGGTTGTTCCTGCCCTGGAGCTGTAGCCTGCAAGCCTGCCATGTATGGATGCCAGGCAGTTTGGGCTCCCGGGTCCAGTGGTCCTACCACAGGTATGCTCACGTGTACCCACCCCTGTGCAGGCTAAGGACAGCGATGACGACGATGATGTCACTGTCACCGTGGACCGAGACCGCTTCATGGATGAGTTCTTCGAACAGGTGGGAGCCAGCACACCTGGCTTTACCCATATACTGGTGGGCCCTGGGTGACCACAGCTCAGCACTGAGCCAGGCCCTGCGCCTACATCCCCGTTACCAGCTCGGCAGCCTTCAGACACCAATTAAGGACCCTATTTAGAGGGTGAACAGACTGAGGCTCAGAGGGGAGCGGAGTTTAGGGTTGGCCCAGCCCACTTCTCCTCGCCCTGGTGTGGAAGGTACTTGGAGCAGCCAGCTCCCCGCCATGAGTGGAAGCCTGGCCCTGAGCCTCTCTCTGGCCCCACGCTGGATAAGCCGTGGGCCCAAGGAGCCTCAACCTTGGATTTTCTCCTGATGACCTGGCCTTGGCCCACAGGTGGAAGAGATCCGAGGCTTCATTGACAAGATCTCTGAGAATGTGGAGGAGGTGAAACGGAAGCACAGCGCCATCCTGGCCTCCCCCAACCCTGATGAGAGTGAGTGTGTAGGTGTGAGGGATGGGTTTCGGGCCCTATCAGCCTCCAGGAAGGCGCTGCGGCCCAGGAGGGGCACCTGGGCCTGGCCAGGATGGGGAGGAGGTCAGTGCCCAATATCACATGCCAGACCGAGGCCTCCCACAAAGACTTTGTGGTAGGATGGGTGGCCCTCCTCTGGCCTGGGTGGGGTCAGGCAGCCAGCCTGCCCTCCTCAGGTAAATGCTTTTTCCCTAAGGCCCTGGGCTGACTGCAGCCCTGGGGTTCTGGGAGGAAAGCATGGTGGGAGGGAGCTCCCTCTGATGAATAGGAAGCTTCTCGGCCCAGCCCCTCCCTTTCCCTTGCCTCCCTGGGGAGCAGATGGTGCTCTGAAGCAACAGCGCTGTAGGAGGGCAAGCTGGCCAAGCAGGCAGAGCTTCCGGAAAGAGCCAGCAGCCTTGACACCTGGCCACTGGTACCCTGGCACTGGGCATTCTCAGGACTCCAGGAAGTCACCTCCCTCCGCACAGGGAGCCTGTGTCCCCAGACACGTCTCCCTGACCCGGCTGTCCCAATTCCTGTTGAGGTGTTGATTACTACACTATTATATGCCAGGTTGATAAGGTGCAAGCCGGAGATCCTCTCCCCTGGTGGGGGCAGTGGCAGGAGCCAGGGGTCACAGCCTGCCACCCAGGCACTCAGGACTTGCTTTTAGTTTCATTTCCAGCACTACCTCCCTGTCCATGACCTTTTACCTCAGGCCCACAGGCATCCTTAAGCACCCAGAAAACTACCTCTCCACAGCCCCTTGGGTTCCGGCCTTGGACCGGAACCCAAGGCCAATGCCATACCACCAAACCCAGTGCCAGGCCCCTGGAAGACAAAATGAGTCAACTGGCAGCCTGGGTGACTGTCCCAGAAAGGGGTAGAAAGGAGGGGGAACCACCCAAAGCAGGGCACACACCACACATCCAGTGCAGTGGCCGTGCTTCGCCTCTCCCCACAGAGGCTTGTCTGGGACGGCAGCACATGACGTGGTTTGTCGATGTGCCCGTGTGTGTCCACGGTGGGTCGAAGGGGGCTGGCTGTGGGGCAGGAACTATAAAGAGCTGCGAATTTGGCCTCTCACCTGCTGGGAGGTGGAGCGGCATGGGGTGACGCACTGCCTAGCTCCCCCGCCAGACTCCCTCGTGCCACTTTGGCACTTCTTCCCATGTCACACAGCAGCAGCTAGTTCAGAATTGCCACCTGTGAACGGAGCAGTCAGGAGGTCGCTGAGACGGGCTGAGTGAAGTGAAGCATTCTAGGGCAAAGGCAGGCAGAGTTAAGGAAGAGTCACGAGAAAAGATGGCAGTGAACGGGGGGACTTTCCTGGGCTGAGGCTTGCTCTGCCTCCTCTGGGAGCAGCCATCCGGGCTGGGCTATTTTGGGTCTGTGCTTAAAAGGCTGAGACATTAGAGCGGCTGGTGCCCAAGTTTTCCTTTGTTCATACGAAAGAGGTTTCCCTCCTCCGCTCCTCAAAGCCCCTACTCTACCTCACTCATATTCTACTCTGGAGCAGCCCCACCTGATCCTCCACTGTAAACACCCCTCCCCAATCCTTTATAGACCCTTCTAGAAGAGACCCCAGCCCTGGAGGCAAGCAGAGGGTGGGTGAGAAAGGTTGCAGCCCAGAGCTCAGTTGTTTCTCCAGAAAGTGGAGTCAGGGGTGGGGGGCCAGCCAGCACCTGCGGGAAAGCAGCCATCTTGCCCCCTTTGCCAACCAACCGCTCACAGGGAGTGGGGCAAGCTGGGCACCCTCTTGACCTCTGCCAGCTTTAGGGAGATTGTTCCAGTTGGAACAGGGCCCAGAAACACCAGCTACCACCCTTCCTTCAACCTCTCCCTCTCATAGGCCCTCTGACTGCTTCCTCCAGGGGCCCCACCTCTTTGAAGCTCTTTCCCACCCAGGCCTCCAGGTGCCTCCTGACCCCATCCAGCCACTGGGCACTCAGCTGTTGGCCTCCACTGAGCTCAGCACCTGGGGAGGGGGACTTTGTGAGTAGAACAAGGTCTGGCGCCTGTCTCCCTTGCCCCCTGGCCCAGCGTGTCTCGATGTAGGGGCTGGCTTCTGCCTCCCTGGTCCCTGGTCCCACCTGCCCACTGGTGGGCCACCAGGTAATGCTAGGTGAGCCCATACCCCCCGCCTTTGAATCAGGCAAATATCAAGTAAATGCTCCCCAGTGCCAACTGCAGCATCACCAGCTGCTCCACAATTTATTTTTGCCTTAAATTTAGACCCATCTGTTATCTGCAGGGGTGGGGGAGCCAGGGAAAGAAGGGAGGCTCCTTGGAAGGCAGCACAGGAGGGGGTGAGACTGCAGCTGGTATGGCCCTGGCTCAGATTAGAGGGGCAGACAGAGCCTTAGCCAAGAAAGAGGGAAAAGGCAGGATCCAGGGTCTATCTAGAGCCCCCATTCGGCAGGCCCCCTGTGCAGGAGGCTGAGCCTAAACACTGGCATGGGGGAACCCAGGGTGTCTATCCCCACCCTTTTGCCCCCACAGAGACGAAGGAGGAGCTGGAAGAACTCATGTCCGACATAAAGAAGACAGCAAACAAAGTGCGCTCCAAGTTGAAGAGTGAGTCTGGGCTCCAGCTTGTCTAAGGTGGGGGGGCATTCTAGGCCTGTCTCATCCATGCAGCCCGCAGGGTTTTTTCAACTTAGAGGGAGAACACTGAGCCTTGCTTTCCTTTATGAGGCCGCCATCTTGTGCCATTCACTCAATAGCTACCTTGCAGGCCTGTTTATGCCAGGCTTTGGGCCGGCCCTGGGGACATGTGCCTGAGGCTTCATCCAGGGAGTGCTCCACCCTGGGCACTGTCCTCCACTTCATACCTGAGAGGAGTGGCTAGCACTGCCTGGATCCACACAGAGCCTCCATGCGCCTGGGTGGGCACAGACATGCATGCCTGGAATGCACAGGCTGAGTGCCTGTGTGCCCTGCAGGTTGCAGCCACCTGGCCCTCCCCACTCGGGCATGGCCTCATGTTGGTTGTACAGCCTTCCTGAGCACCAGAGAGACAGCATGGGCCTGAGCCGCCAGGCCCAGCATGTAGTAGGTGCTCACAAGTGGGGGTGCATATGTGCACACATCTACACATGCATCGTGCCTAGAAGGGCCCCTGGTGGCTCCTCCATCAGTTCCCAGCCCTCCCTTTTTCTCTCTTTTCCATGTGACTCCACTTATAGGTCACACAAGACTTCCCAGGGAGGTCCTAAGCCAGATCCTGGGGGTGTGGGTCTGGGGTCAGTGGTGAATGGGGGGCAGATTATGGCTGAGCAGCTCTCTGTTCCCCCAGGCATCGAGCAGAGCATTGAGCAGGAGGAAGGCCTGAACCGCTCATCCGCTGACCTGAGGATCCGGAAGACACAGGTGCGGGCTGGGCCTCGGGTGGGCACCTGGCCTCTGAGGCTCTCTGGCCATTCGGAACCGGGCCTGACACCTGCACCCCCATCTTGGACCCCCAGCACTCCACACTGTCCCGAAAATTTGTGGAAGTCATGTCTGAGTACAATGCGACACAATCTGACTACAGGGAGCGCTGCAAGGGCCGAATCCAGAGGCAGCTGGAGATCAGTAAGCTGAGGGGGTGGGGCAGGGGCTCAGGTGCCTGGCAGGGCTGCCACTGAACTCCCTGGGGAGGATTACACTCTATGTGACTCCTGCTTGCAGCTGGCCGGACCACGACCAGCGAGGAGCTGGAGGACATGCTGGAGAGTGGGAACCCAGCTATCTTTGCCTCTGGGGTGAGTATGGACCCCATAGGCATCCCTTCCACCGAGACCTCTCCCACCATGACCCTGGAGTGCTTGATATGGGCAGTGTTTGGACACAGCCACCTTGTGGGGCAGGTTTTAGAGAAGAGAAGGACGAGTCCCAGAGAGGAGGGGACCAGGTTGAGGTCACATAAATGTTAGTGGCAAAGGTCTCCTGGTTCCTCTCAGTGGATCCACTTCCTTGCCACCCCTGCCCATTCCCCACTGGCTTGGGCCTCCTTCCACCATCCTTAGGACCTTTTTCCACTTCCAGAGGGTGTGGTGCTCTTGGCCATCTCTAAATTCAGGTAAAGCTCTGTTCTGCTGAGCAGGGAGCTTCCTGAAGGAGGTGGCATACAGGTGAAGAGGCAGTGTAGGGGTATGGGTTCTGGGAGGACAAAGTAGAGGACAGCTGTATTTAGTAGAGGAGGAAAGGGGACTGGAGAAAGGCAGTGTAACACCCAGGCCAATTGGGCAGTCATCTTAGGCTCTGTACCATGCTGGTGATAAGAGCTCTCACTCGGCAGTTACCATGCACAAGCACAGGTAGGGAGTGTTAACAGACCCAAATGACAGGTAGAAAATCAGGTCTCAGAGAAGTTAGGTAATAGCTAGTAAGAGTTGAGCAGAAAGTGGGGGAGGGCCGCAACTAAGAAGGAAGCCTCAGGCTCTCCTTCCAGAACCTTCTGCTCATGCCACTGCCCATCCCAGCTGCTTTTGCAGTTGGCTTCCTGTTTTCCTGGTCCCTACCCCCTTTGACAAGCACCTGGGTCCCAGCCCACTGCTCCTGTCCCTAGATCATCATGGATTCCAGCATTTCGAAGCAGGCCCTGAGCGAAATTGAGACTCGACACAGTGAGATCATTAAGCTGGAGAACAGCATCCGAGAGCTGCATGACATGTTCATGGACATGGCCATGCTTGTGGAGAGCCAGGTGAGTGCCCAGAGCCCTGCTGCTCTATCCCCCATCCCACGGCAGCACCCAGGGCTGCACTAACCCCCACCCTTTCTGCCCGACACGCTGCCCTGCCTGGGAGGGACCATGTCTTCAGGTAACTAACCACTGGCTGTTGAAATTGCCTTCAGGGCCTCACCCCTGGAAAGTCCCCTCTGCATGGCTCTGCTTGGCCCTCCAAGATCCCAGGCCCTGCATGGCCCTACCCACCTCTTCCTACCTTATCCACCAGCTGTTTGTCATGTAGGCAGGGTGGATGGGCATTTTTCTAGGGATGGCTGAGAGCCAGCTTCCTGGAGCTGATGTCTGTTGGATGAAGAGCAGCATAAGTAAATGACAACTGTCATTCCAGTTGTGCCAAGTACTCAGGAAATGTTAGAAGGCAGCATGGAGATAGAACAGTAGTTCTCAAACTTCAAAGTACCCAAGAATCACTTGGAGGGCTTTTCTCGTAAGTTTCCCTGTTCTAATTCCCATTCCCAGAGATGAGTAGGTTGGGGTAGAAGTTTGCATTTCTAATATGCTAAAGGGTGATGCTGATGTTACTAGTCCAAGGGTAATACTTGGAGTACCACTTTGATACAGTCACTGTGGAGGCCACTTTGGATGGGATGGTTAGAGAAGGCCTCTCAGAGGAGGCAGTGTTTGAGCTCTAGAAACATCACAGAGGAAGAATGAAGAGCTGGCCCAGGCAGAGGGACCAGCAACACATATTTGAGGGGCAGAAAAGAGGTCCATGTGGCCGAGCACGGGGGCACTTGGAGATGAGGTAGACAGGGGCCTTGGCAGGTGGAGTCTCTTCTAGACTGGAGGGTCTTAAGTGTGGGAGTGGTGTGACCCACTATCAGGAAGCAGGGAGCTCCTGAGCATGCTGCTGCTGCCACCTAGGTGAGAAATTATGGTGACACAGACTCCTGTGGAAGCGGTGGACTTGGAGAGAGCTGTCAGTTGTCAGCACAGCACTGCTAGGAGTTTTGTGTGTGTCATGGTCAGAGTGGCCTCTGCAGGCTGCATGGGACCAGACGGCAGGGCCCAAGAGGGCTGTGGGGCTGTAGGGGGTATTCTTAAACATTGAAGATCCCCATCATGCCTGGAGAGGATGGAATCGGGGGCTCTCTACGGTCACCTTGTGAGCTACGGCCGCACTCCAGCCCATTCGCTCCTACCCCTGCCTTCCTCTGCCCCACACAGTCCTCTGCACCAGGCAATAGGGTCAGGGCCCCAGCTGAGCATTCTTTGCATGGTCTGCATGCCCTTGACTGACTGCATGGCCAGTTCCCTCCCCAGGATGGCTGCTCTGTGGAGAGAGGCGGGAGCTACCAGGGGTGCCTGGCCTGCAGGGCATAGGTAAGAGGCTGAACCCCATTCTCCTCACACCCCTTTTCTCTCTCTAACCTCAGGGCACTTTCCTGAAGTCCTGTCCCAAGCCCCCTCTGGACCCTGAGGAGGGCCCTCTGGAGCTCGCATGCTCCTGGCCCCACAGGGGGAGATGATTGACAGGATCGAGTACAACGTGGAGCACTCCGTGGACTACGTGGAAAGAGCCGTGTCTGACACCAAGAAGGCCGTCAAGTACCAGAGCAAGGCACGTCGGGTGAGTAGCCCCAACACTGCCCAACCACGTTTCCCATGTACCCATTGGTGATCACAGATCACCTCCTGACTCTGCCTCTGTCCCACCCCTCCCAAGTCTGCAGTGCCTCGTTGTAACCACCCCCAGGCCCATTCCAGGTCATCACCTTCCCCACAGTTAGCCCCCCAGCCTCTACAGCCCTCATCCATCATCACAGCCCCAGACAGACCTGAGACTGCTTATATATATGGGGCTCTGCCAGGTGGCACCTTTACCCACTCAGTCCTCTCAGGAGACTCTAATAGCCCCAGTCTCCTCAAAGCTCTGCCTAGCCACAGCTGCTCCCATGCTCTGACTGAGGACTTGCCTTTCCTTCTTGCTTCTCTGGTTCAGAAGAAGATCATGATCATCATCTGCTGTGTGGTCCTGGGCATTGTCATTGCCTCCATCTTTGGAGGTATCTTCGGATAGAAACTACTCCACTTGCCACTCTACTCTGGATGGTCCACCCTAAGGAAGCCCCCTGGCTGCTGACGCCCTTCGGCTCGGAACCTCTCCTTCCCACCCCACACTGCTCCTTTCTGTCACGGGGCCCTCCATACCCACCCTGCCCTGAGCCGTCGTGTGCATGATCTTTGTAACAGTGTGCGTCTGTACAAGAGAGGTAGAGGGGAGCCAAGCTGGGAAACAGCCAGTGGGGCAGGGACAGGTCAGCAAGGGACAGACTCAGGCCCTGGCCCAGGCTGCCTCACCCTTCCTAGGCCTCTAGTAATTCCACTGTTAAACTGAGGGGTCTGCCCTCTCTGGGTGTCAAGATCCTCTGGACTCTAACCTTGCCTCCTACTGACGCACTCACCTGCCCTGTCTTCTCCAGCTGTCCCCCTAAACCCAGCCCCCTGAGGGGTGGGGACCAGCTGGCCACATGGTGCTGCTTTTCAGGTTAGGGGAGGGATGGCCCAGAGAGACAGCCCAGCTCTAAGCCTCTTAACAGCCAATCACTGCCAGGGAGGCTCAGGGTGCTGTGGCCAGATGGCTTCTGGCCATGTCAAGACCAGGCTCCCTCCCCTACCTATGGGCAGAGTCCAATAGGTCTTCAGCTGCCTCAACCTCCCTTCCCACATTCCTAGAGTACCAGAAGCAACCTGGCCTCTGCCTGACCCCAGATCACATCCTGGAAGAGGCTGGCTGGTATCTGGTCTCCAGCTACCCTTGGAGCTAGAGAGGCAGAGCAGGCCCCAGTCAGGCCAAGCCCACAAACCTGGGCCAGCCATTCTCCTCAGCAGGCCTTTGTTAGGTCCTCAAGCCATTGTGTTGCATGTTTGGGACAGTGGTCCCTGCTCTCTTGTGCTCTGGGAAGTCAGGTGTCACTTCAGGCCTGCAATCACGTCCTTCCCTTGCTCGTCCCTCATTGATGTGCCACATGTCAGATGTCTTGGATGCAGTATTCAGCAGCTAGCCAGGGAGAGGTACCTCCCTCCCCACCATCTTGGGGCTTTTCAAGTCAGAAACATGCCCCCACTTCAAGACCCTTCTCTTCCTCGTTGACAGGCAAGGAGTGTGCATGCAAGTGCATGCAATAGGGAGTGGGGCCAAGTCTGAGCCTCACTTCCCTCAGCTTTGCTCCTGCCCAGTGACTGACCACTGTCCGTGTTGCCTTCTTTAATGACTTCCCTGCCCTCCTTTACCCCTTCACCAAAGGTCTTGGTACAACCAGCTGCCCATTTTGTGAAATTTTTATGTAGAATAAACATTTGTATCTGTACTGTGCCTCTGCTCTAGATTCCTTACTATTACGTTATGTATGGCCTTAGGACTTGGGGGTGAATGTGTGACAATATGGGGAGGGGGTTCAGCAGCAAAGGATCCCAGCCTCCTCGCTCAGCCTTCCACTCCCAGACCTGGCCCCTCCACTGCAGCCTGAATGTCTCAGCTCCTGCTCAGCGTCTGATGTCTGTTCTACATTGAGGGTGCAGATCTTCCCACTGTTCTCAAGTCACTGGCAACCAGTGGATTCTCTCTCACCATTCTTCAGTCCCTCACACACCCTAGTGTAGGGAGGACCTGCCCTTCTGACACCACTAGTGATCAGAAAGGAGACACCTGAGACAGCCAAGTGCTGGGCTAGTTGGTGGCTGCCGATGCAGTTCAGGGCCAAAGGTCAGCCCAGACTACTGGGCTGGACAATGCCTTTTTAAAAACTGATTTTAGACAGGGAGGGAGACAGGTACCAACTTGTTGTCCCACTTATTTATACACTCATTGGTTGTTTATTCCATGTGCCCTAACCAGGGACTGAACTCAACTGTAGCATGTCCGGATGACACTCTAACCAAATGAGCTACCCAGCCAGGGCTGGCTAATACCTTCTGACCACAGGGAAACCAGAGACTGGGCAGCAGCCTCAGGCCAATGGGCACCATGGATACCTTTCGTCTTGCCCATCCTTCCCAACTGTGCCTACTGTTATAAACCCTAAATTAATCTACCTTTGTTCTTTGTAGGTTAGGATAATGCTTTCATACAAGTAAGTTCTTTAAACCTAATTTGGACCCATGGAATCGAGGTATCAAGTGGTAGCTCCCACCAACAAAGGAACTTTTAAATTTGTGTCAGATCACAGAGCTGCAAAGTGCCCGAGTTGCACAGAAAGTGGTTTATTGCTTTTAGAACAAAATAAGAAGCTCTCGGAACTCTAAGAAGAAAATACTTTTAGAACTTTTCTAAACACTATTTTGTCAACTGATGAAGTAGACACTTCAATATATAAAACTTTCCAGAGGCAAGTGCCTGAGCTGGATGGCACAGCTCCCAACTGTGTGCACACCGAGCTGTCCCATCTGACGCAGCTAACTGCTTAGAAGTAGGGCTTGCGCTTTCGGCCAGTGTACTGAGTGTCAGGTCTGACTTCCCTGTGAAAAAATAAAGGGTGGGAGGAACATGAGTTTTGGAAGAAAGAACAAAAAACCTCTGGGACCCCTTCAAATATAGGTAAGCCTTTAGTTTTAATGGTCAAGACAGCCCTTTAACCCCAGCAGCCTATCCCCAATCCAGATACTCACTTGCCCTGACGCCTGCGGCGCTCCTTCTTCTCCAGCACCCACTCGCGGCTCTTTTTCACCACTCCGCTGTTCCTTACCACCCCACTCCTTGCAGTCCTATATGGGACCCTGTGCAGGAAACAGAGCTGTGAGCTGATGTTTGGAGCAGCCTGGCTAGCACCCAGATGAATCCAGACAGGGAAAAATGGTGAGCTTCCTTTTTATTTATTGATATATTTTAGGGAGAGGGGGAAGAGAAATACCTGCCTGTTCCACTTACCTGTGCATTCTTTATGGTTGATTCTTTTCTATGTGCCCTGACTGGGGGTGGAACCCACAACCTTGACATACCAGGACAATGCTCTACCCAGCCAGGGCTAAATGGTGAGCTTCCTTCAAGTTAGAGGTAGCCTCAGATGCCCCTTCTACAATAAAGTCCCACTTGTGGATACACCTCCCCATCCTGGGGTCAAAGACATTTATTTAAGTAGGAGGGCCAGGAGGTGCAAGGTCCCACTCAACTCATAGGCATCTTTGTGGCAGGTGACAGCTTATTGGGTCTGCATACATCCTTTCTGTGGTACGAGCAGGCGGGGCGGGTAAGGCTGCTTTTGGGGTAACCTAGACCAGAACTGGCTTTGTAAGACCCTAGCAGTATCCCCAGAAAGCTAGAGGCCCAATGCCCACTGCTGCTACTTAAGGCCCTAGTCTGGTTGTGAGGTCAGCATACCCCATCAAGTAGGGGTTCCCAGCAACAAATAAATGTCCGAGGCAGGAAAACACAGCTGCCCAACTTGTGGCAGCCCTGACAATAATCCTCAAGGGTTGATCTTGGCCTCCAGTCATGGCTGAGGAGAAAAGAAACCCCCTGCAGCCCCATGAGAGACAGGCCCTGAGAACAGGGAAAACTGCCTGAGCTCCCAAACCCCTTTCCCACCTGGCAGTTGGGATCACACTTTCCAGCCTAACTCCAACCAAACAGGGAAGCTTGCCATTTGCGTGATCACCATTTCCCGAGCACCTGCATGCACAGCCCATGGATATTCCATAATGGCTATGAACCCGCCTTGCCCTTGAAGAGTTCATGGCTGGGCTATGGCAGAGATCATTCACACATGCAAAGTAGAGAAAGGACCAGGAGCTGCTAAGGGAGTGACAGCAAAGTAATAGCACAGGGTCTGGCAAAAATTAGAGGGCCATGGAGATAAGCTGGTATTTCTACAGGCAGGTGGTGGACACAGAATTCCAGACAAGCAGCAATACATGAAACGAGATACTTAAAGGAGTAAATAGGGAACATTAGGGAAGAGGAGTCCTGTGTGCTTGGAGTCATGGGTATAGGAAGTGTCCAAGTGAGACTCTAAGGGTCTGTGGAGGATTAATTACCTCCTGCACAAGTTCCCTCCTGCTTGAGGACCAGTGGAAGCCGGACTGTATGACAGACCCTTTCTGTTGCTACTTTTCATGTTTTAGAAAAACTCAGAATCTTATTATTTTTTTAAATCAATCTCACTTGGCTGGGCCAGTTCATGGAGATGTGAACACCAGCAAGGAGTGTGCCCTCCCTTCAGTAAGCAGTGGGAAATCGATGATGTTTTATACCAAAGGAATGACACAACATGACCAAGACTTTATAGAGTGTAGGGGCAGTGATTCGTGAAAGAAACTTAAGAAAGTCCACAACTAGGGAGCAGGAAACAACTGCAAACTGGGACCTGGAGATGCAGGACTAATCCTTATGCATCTGTAAGGAAGGGCAAGCCGTGAGCCACAGCAGGAATGATGGTAGACAATCATCAGGGGACATTAAGGTAGCAGGTGAAGATGGTGAGTGGCCCAGACCACAGGTGGGTAACAGTAGCAAATGCCAGAGGTGGACTGAACCTTTCGAGAGTGGTTTAGAAGTGGTTCAGAAGCAGAGGGCAGATAGCAAGAATTAAGGAATGCACAGGTGAAATAATATTGACACAAAAGAAATAAACAAATCAAGTAAAGGTTTTTAAAACTTTTAAATTCACCTATTTATTTGTAAGTGGCCAGAATGTAATTAGAGAGAAGTGATAGTAATGGGTGAAGTTTGATAATCCTTCCAACAGGCAAAAGCCTCTGCCCTTCCCTCCCCAAATCAGGACTTGGAAGAGTAAGAGCCTGCCGAACCGGGGGAGACGATGTCTGTGCTAGCCACTGTGCCGAGTCTTGTAAAAACATGTTTTCTACTCCTCAACACACTGCCCAAGTAGGTGGCAATATCTCCCCTTTTTAAGTAGATAAATGTATCCTCAGGTCATAAAACTTACCCAAGTTTACAGTTAGAACATGCTGTCTGTAGACACCGGTGTAAGGACAAGAGGGATCCTAAGATGGATGGAGTGAGTTAAACAACCTGTACTTCATCTGTGAAGTAGACAGGACCACTCACTAAGAGCAAGTGTTGGGTGCCTTAGAGCAGAAAACATCTAGAAGAGCTCCTAAGTCCCCATGGGGAATGGGCTGAAGAAGCTAAGAGAGAACTACAAGGGACAAGGGAGCAAACTGCATAAATCTGTAGTAGACACAAAAACACAATCATTTTCACTATCAATGGGCCTTCCAAAAACTCATTGAATTCTCTCCCCTTTATTCCTCTTAAATGTCTTCAAAGTCTTAATCCCTTCCACTTATCAATCAAAAGTAAGAAATAATTCCTCCTTCACTATCCTTAATTCTTCATTCAACAAATATTGAATACCTTTTATTAACAAGACTCTCTTCTGATGTCAAGGATATAAAACCAGTCCCTACCAAGTTTTCATTCTCACTGGGGATACAAACAACCAAGTAAACAAATACATGACTTAGAGCACTTAAAGGTGTTAAGGAAAATAAAGGTAAGGAGAACTCAACTGAAGATAATAAACAAAGGAATTGCAAGATATTTTAACAATGAAAAAGGAAAGAATCAGCCTTGCTGCTGTTTGGAAAATGGAAAGAAGCAAAGATTGAAGGCAGGGAGACAAGTGGGCAGCTTTCTGTAATCGAGGAAAAACTGGTGGGAGTGGGGAAACGGGCTGGAATTGGGATATACGTTGAGGGGAGGGGTGCAGGATTCACTGACAAACTGACTGGGTATGAAATGTAAGGAAGGCAGGAATAGCTGAGAATGGTAAATAATGGAGGAAGGAGGCTTAGGGGTGAAAACCAAGAGCTCTGTTTTATTCTAGACCTGTGTGGGAAGTTCAGGTATGGATACTCAGAAGGCACTTTGGAAATCAGAGGCAGGATTGAAGCCAAGGATCTAAGTCTCAGACTTATAAACCTGTAGTTGGTATTTAAGGCAGTGCAGAGAGAAAAGGGGTCCAGGATGGGTCCCAGAGTGCTTCAGAAGAGGGGCCAGCAAAGTGGACTGAGAAGGAACAACCAGTAAGGTTAAGAGAAAACCAGGACAGTGAGTGGGGAGGCCAAGTGAGAAAAGTGTTAAGTGATGACACACTGCGTCAGCTCCTTCCGAGTAGGCAAGTTAAGATAAACAAAAAGTAGGAAAAAAGGCTGAGAAGTGACCACAGACTTGGCAAGACAGACTGGTGGTGGCCTTGACAAGAGCAATTTGTGATGAAACAGAAACATGAGCCAGAGAACAGGATTGAGAGAATGGTAGGGGAGAAGCAAGAAGAGGCAAGTAGTTTTGTTATGTTAAAAGAAGCAAATAAATAAGGT